GGGTATGCCATCTACTGCTCCATCTTAGTCACTGAGGAAGACTAATTCTGAGACATTCACTCCACGGTCGGTCACTGATTTTCACCATGGTTGATGTTCTGAGTCCAGTGATTCAGTTGGGGGATCCCCAAAGAAACCACGTTTGAAGTGATTGCAGATCTGACTTGTTTGTGTGCTTGTCAGTACAAGATCTGGCTCATTCTGTCACCCACATCAGCCAATGCACACACTGGTAGTCGCAATTGCTGTGTTAGTTCTGTGTTCAGCTTCATCTCTTGCATACATGAATGGATGCTGAGATACAGTGCTCTCCTGCGCACAACGTACTTGGACCTCATGCACATCAGCAGAAGCAGTAGCCTTGTTGGAGCAATCCCCAATAACTCTTATTAGGCTTACCCCCTCCCTGGTTCCTGTGGTTACCATTATGTAGAGCAGACTGGTCCAGTCTGTCTCACATCCCATATAGCTCTCGTACACATGAATGGGCAGTTGAGCCTAGCTCACCCCAACTGACCCAACCATTCAGCCTACACTCCTGCCGATAGGTGGTATGACCTATTTAGAGAGGCCCATCCCCAGCCCTGGTTCTCATGCTGACCAGTAGGAGTTGAGCCCATGAGGCAGATGCCCACAATTTCTGTACTGGGCCGACTCACAGTTCAGAATCTTGCAATCTACAGGTGGTTCTGCATTTCTGCTTGACAGGATTTGCTCCCAGTCCCAGCACTTGCTAACTGATGCAACCAGAAAGCCCAACCAACCTGCACTTACTCTGGTTCATGTGTGCACCAGTGGATACAGTCCCGGCCCTAAAGTGAGCTACTGGTGTTGCATCCCAACCTGGCCTGTCCTGCACCACATCTTGGTTCTCAGGTCTGCCAGTGGGTGTCATGACCTGGATCAGCCTAGCCTGACCCCAGACCTGACCCTCACCTATGCTGGCGGGTGCTGTAACTTGGCTTTCTGAAGCTCAGGTTTCTTGTGCACACCTGCATGGACTGTGTCCTGACAAAGGAGTTCCCCAAGCTCTTCTATCAGTTCTCCTCCCAGTGGCAGATCTCACGAATGCTGGTTGTCCTTGGATGAGGCTCACTTAATATACCTTCTGTCCTGGCAGGAACAGTGGCCTTGTCCAATCGACCCACATCCATCCCAGTTCTTGCTGTGTGGTGCTACAGTCCCGCCACACCTGGCCCATATCCAGACACCGCTCTCACGTGATTCATTGGGTGCATAGACATAGCCCAGCTTATCTTACACCTACCCTTGTCTCTTGTGAGCACCACTAGTGGGTGCTGGAGTCAAGCCCAGTCCAGGTTGCCTAGACCCAGTCCACAACCATGCCAATGTATACTGCAGTCATGTCCAATCCCATTTACTTCCCCCATTCTGGCTCTCATGCTCACTGGCGAACTCAATCCAGCCAGCAATCACCTTAGCTCCCCAGCCAGGCCTGTTCCCAGCCACAGATTTTGTGTATGTCAGTGGTAGCTCGGCATAGCCCATATCTCATCTTGGGCTTTGCCATGTGATGCTGCAAACTGGCCTGTTTTGGCCTGCCCCCAGTCCCAGCCCCAGCTCTTGCTGGAGGGTACTGCAGCCAAGCACTGTACAGTCTGCTCCCATCTTTGAATCATGCAAACCAGTAGGTGTGATAGCCTAGCCCAGCATGACCTGCATTCCAGTCTGGCTCCTGCACATGCCAGTGGGTTAAGATTGGCTGTGCCCTGCCTTGTCACCCCCCATCAAACCAACTCACACACATTCCGATGGGTGGAGCCACTTGTGCTGGCCTGACCAACACCTAGGCCTGAATCACATGCTCACAGTGGGAGTTATATTTCAGCTGGGGAGTTTCCCAAGTTCCCTCACAAGGCCCACTCCTTCACCCAGATCCCACATGTGCCACAAGGAGCTAGGCCCTTACCTGGCCTAGGCTGTCCTGGACTTTGTATGAGCTTTTGGATATTGTGGCCTGGCCTGCCCCACACCCTCTTCTTAGGTGGGTCATGGATGCTGCAGTTGTATCAGCCCAGCCTATTCTAAACCCCAGTATCCATGAGTGTTGGAGGGTTCTATGGTCATGCCTAGTTTAGCCTGTCACTATCTCCAGCTCTGGATCAAACCAATGGATGTTGCAGTTCCATAGGGGTGGACCCGTATATTCCCCACAGAATGTGTCCCCAGACATGGTTCTCTTATTTGCTGGTTAGAATCATGGCCCAGCCTAGCATTACCCATATCCTCTCCAACTGTCAATGATAGGTACTGTAATTTGGCCCTGCCAGGTAGCCCAAGCCTTAGCTTTAGTGTGTGCTGCTGAGTGGAGTGGTGGATTGGCAGTGAGCAACCTCGCCCAGCTTATGTTGGCCATGTGGGCTGGTGCATAGGTCTGATCTATAATGATCCTCCAGCTTCTCCTCTCCAGATCACTCTGTCTCAGCCCCCTTGCTTACTTTCAAGTACAGTGGCCTTGTCAATGGAAGTCCCTCAGAAATTATTCCATATTTGCAACATATTCCCTCAGGGGTCCTCCCTCCCGTACATCCTCTTACCCTCTTCCTTGATCAGTTCACGTGTCTGGATGCTCATGGGTTGGCCAACTGAGCCTTCTGAAGCCCAGTCTTCCTGTGGGTTGTGCTTGAGGCCAGCTCCAGCCAAGTTTGGCACTCGAGAAGGGTGCATGGAGTAGGTGTAAAGAGAAAAGAAATGGACCACTAGATTTTATGATGATAAAGGACAATGTAAGAAAGCTGTCCTCTTTATTTATACAGAAGCAGTCACAAACTCTGGTACAGACTTTTTACATCATAATCAAGCGGGCGTCTCTAAAGGTAACTCTGCCGTTTGTTTCACCTTAAGGCAAGACATTACCTATCCAGAAACTGTGGTGATAAGTTCTTCAGTAGATGGCGCAAATCAATCAGAAACACATTCCTACTACAACTTCTTACTCTACAACTTGATCTTAAATCAGTTAAGCGAAGAAAGGCATCACAGAAGGAGAAACCTCAGTGAAACAAAGCTCTAAACATCGATTCCCACTACACCCATGGACTAAACATTCTACATTAGCATGTTTTACAATGTTTGTATAAACATTCTTGAGCTTTCCCAGCCATATGTTCAATGGGAACAGCAGAGACAGCCTGAATTGTAGAAGGCCCTTTTGCCAAGATGTAATCAGCAACATCAACGTCAAAGCTTACATTGATAGTAACATCAACTCTGCAGTGGCAAAAAGTGCCTCGACAGATTATAGAACTCTCAGCGGGGTGGCCGGGTGTCCATGCAAAGTGTGGTGGAACTACCTTGATGTGGTTGCAGAGCTATCTGCCGGGCCTTGCCTAGCAGCAGGAAGCTGCTTGTGGCCTTGCCAGCAGAGGAGCAATTCTACACAGACCTTAGCGTTTCCCATATCTGCTGCATGGACCCCAGCAGGTTTTGTGCTGTCCTGGAGCTCTGCCCACCCTCTAGGTTCTAGACTCCTGGCATGTGTGCTGGCCTGAGACCTTATGCTTCCACACACCCACGTTCCAGGGCTATTCAAAGTTCCCCAAGCCTGGTCCACCATCACACCAGGACGGCATATTAACATAGTGCCCTCTTCCCGACTCCCATCTCCCCATCTGGAACCAAGCAAGTGTTGAAATCCCCAGGCTTGCTCCATCTGCCTGGATATGAGATCCCAGATTCCCACATGCCCCTGCCAGTTCCATCCCCTAGGCAAGCCCACACCCCATCAACCTGGTACTTTGGGTGCCCAGGTATAAATGGCGAAAAGTCCCTCCAGGCCCAGGCTGACCTGGCACAAATTCAGTTAATTTCCTAGGGCTACCGTTCTGGGAACAATTTTGAATTTAGGTTTGGGACAAATATACTGTATGTTAAAAGTGTAAAAGTTTGCCTTTTAAAAACTTTTAATTAATTAATTTTTTTCAGCTTGAAGATCTGTCTTTCTCTTTTCTTGCCCTTTTGTTTTCTGTGCTTTCTTCTTTATGAAGCATGTGCCTAGGGGCAGTAAGTGTAGGAGGGTAAAAATAATATTTGACATCCTGAGTTCTGGGCTATAGTTTTCCTTCTTTCTGTTTGAATCAAGTCTAACCATGGAACTTAACCACTGAGTGAGGCGCATGCTTTGAAAAGGAGTGTCGTGAATCATCTCTACAGTGCGTAGAAGGAACTTTGTAAAAATTGTCTAGGTGATGGAGACTTGTGAATTATGACCTATCATGGCAATTGCTTGGTTTTAGGATGGTTTTTTACATAGAGAACCTGTATACATTTTGTTAGATGCATAGCTAAGTCATTCATTTATTGGTGCTACTGTAAATGCAATTTTTCTTTAAATTTTGCTTTCTAATTATTAATTTTCTAAAAAACATTTACTTATTACTTTTTTTGAAAGGCAGATTAACAGAGAGGAGAGATGGAGATAAAGGTCTTCCATCCAGCAGTTCACTCCCCAAAGGGCCTCAAGGTGGGAGCTGAATCAATGTGAAGCCTGAAGCCAAGAGGTTCTTCCAGATCTCCCATGTGGGTGCAGGGTCACAAGGCTTCGGGACATCTGCTGCTTTCCCAGGCCACAAGCATGTGGCGAGATAGGAAATGGAGCAGTTGGGACAGGGATAAGCGTCTATATGGAAGGTGAGAATTTAGCCCATGAGCCGTCACATTGGGACTTAGCTATTAATTTCCTGTATCCAGAAACAGATGAAGATGGGTTTTTTGCATTGACATCACACATTAAATTACTATGTTGTTCTTTCTTATTGTAGGCAGATACACAGATAGAAAACATAGAGAAACATCCCATGTCTGCCAATTCACTCCCCAAATGGTTGCAATGGCTAGAGCAGAGCCGATCTGAAACCAGAAGCCTCGTCCAGGATTCCCACATGGGTGCAGGATCCCAAGGCCTTGGGTCATTCCCCATTGCCTTCATAGGCCACAAGCAGGGAGCTCAACGGGAAGTGGAATGACCAAAATATGAATCAGCACCCATTAGTGATCCTGGCCCATGCAAGGTGAGGATTTAACCATTGAGCCATTGAGCTGGGCCCAACTTCACACCTTTATGTATAACTAAATTCATGTATTAGATTGAAGAGCTTTTTGGAAATCACTGTGAATTTTTTCAAAGGTTATTCTTTTGCCTACTAATATGAACTGCTTCATTCTTTTTTTTTTTTAAAACTTATTCATTTTACTTGAAAGAATACAAAGAGAAAGAGAGACAAGTTACAGTTTGGATGAGCAGAGCAAGGGAAAGTTACTTTGTTATCTTATGTGACCCAATTCCCTTTCATGTTGATGATTTCTCCATCTTGCTATGGCGATTATACTGAGATTCTGGAGCACATATAAAGTATTCACTTTGACATGGAATCCATCAGTGTTGATTATGCACTGCCCTGCCTGGAGAATACCTTATTGCTCAAACATTATACATTATCTTCACAAGGAAATAAGAGAACAATCCTTTACTCTGGGACAATGATAAAGTTGTCCAAACTGATGTCTAATTTCACCCAAGACTTTTACCTGAGACTTTGCTCAAATATAAGTAAGCGTTATCTATTTATTTTCAACTGGAATGATATATTTCTCCTGAGTTATACTCAAAATTCCTCCTGTATTGTTGGTGAGGTAAAATCATTCTTTGTTAAACAATTTACTATATTTTTTGGAAGAAGAATATGATTTCAATGATCATACTTGCATATGTTTGTTTTTGGTGTTCTGCTTCAAGGCCTAGTAACACCTGTGAAATGAAGCAACATTTGTTCTAAATGTCTAAAGGCTTCAGGAATGCAGTGGGTAACAGTCATAGGAAAGATTGATCCTCAAAGTCCTTAGATGATAACACAGCCTGACTTTGGCTTTTGCATCTGCTGGCGAAGACTCTGTATCTGATCATTAAGTAATCTGCTCTCCTTTTGGAATCCTTCCTTCATTAGTTGCTCTTGTTCCTAAAAAGTGAAAATAGAAACAGAATACACTTCATTTTAAGCAAATCCCCTTATGGTTTTTACATACATTGATGCTTACTAATTAATTTCTTCTAGAGCCTTTCCCTACTCTTCATGATCACTATACTTTACACTTGGGCATGTGAACTCTGTAATTACTTCTGAGTGTCCATTAGCTAAGACAGTTTCAGCTACACCTCATGATACACTGGTGGATCTCAATTACTAATCAGCTTTTCACCCTATTCATCATACACAACATTAGTAGGAAATCTCAAACAGGTGTTTAGCTTCAAATCTTATGTATGACAGAAGTCTTACAAATCCACTTACATACATGCTTTCATGTCTGTATGTAACACTGAGATAAAGGATTCCCAAAATCTGATGAAGCATCTGATCTTGAATCAGGAAATTTGTCTAACTCTCTCCAAGGTGGTGGCAGGGTTGGTAGGAGATAGGCAAGAAAGGCAGCATCCCAGCATGACCACACTTATTTCTTTACATGACTCCCTGCACAACACAGACAGCATGTGGGCAGTGCAGATGTGCACAGGTGTGAAAACCTAGGATACCTGCTCAGAAAGTTCCTGTGGAGTGAAAGTCTCACCAGGTGTGAGTAAAACAACCACAACCGCCACAACAACAAGCACACCTTGTTACTGTGGACTTCACTAAATGGTGGGCATTTTACCGACTATAGCATTAGGAAATTAGTTAGCCTTCTCTGAACCTCTGTGTGCTTTCCTGATAATAGGAATACTGTCTTTGCTTTAATAGGATTCAGCAAGAGATGGGCATGCAGATGGGACCTTTCATGATGTCTTACAGATAAAGGCTACTGTTAACTAATGGACACATTAGTCATCCCATAGAGTCATGGATATGGCACAGATGTTAATCAGCATCTCAGAAGACAGACATTGGCACAGGCAGCCCAGGAAGCCTGAAATGCATTGCAAAGTGCAAGTGAGCAAACACAGTGTGTCTTGGGGCTTGTTCTTGCCACACCCTTGCTATACTATCTTTGTGGTCAAGAAGAAAAGACAACAGAAAACAGAAACCTCAAGATGGCACCATGAGTACCTTAAGTTTGAGGGCAAGAGTCCTTTCCTGCTCTTGCTGCATCTGGATTCGGTCCTTCTCCATCTTTTCAGTCAACTGTTTCACATGTTCTTGATAACTCTTCTCTTTCTGTTCCATCAACTGCTGAGTCTGATTCTGCATCTCCTCCAACATTTTTGCGTTAGCCTCTGCAGCCTCAGCTTTCACACGTTCCACTGCAAAGGGAAAGGAAGGAAAAATGTACTTGGGTTACCCTGCTGACCCCCTCTTCCCTGTACACTTCCATTTATCATGGCTGCTGACTGGATAGGCTCTCATAAGATCTCAGTTTCAGGTTTGATTGACGCACCTTTGTTTTCCTTCTCCAGTTTAAACATGCCAGGTTATTTAAACTTTTAAGAGATTATGTAAGTATTTCCACTCTTGAGCCACTCACCTTCTATTTCCTTTTCTTTTTCTGTGAGGGTCTGGTCTGTCTGGAGAATTGCATCAATAGCAGATTCCTTGGACTTCAGGTACTTTTGCAGTGTCTCTTCAGCCTTAAAATTCAGAGGAAGAGTTGGCATAGGAATTGTCTGTAAGCTTTTCTTTCAGTTGCTCTGTACTTTTTCCTTTAGGAATTATTTCTCATGGCCTTTGTGAATTCAGTATTCAGGATTCGTTTTCATAGGGGCAGACACAGACTCTAAGATGGACAATCAATTATTACTGCACCTCCCTAAGCAGAGTTCCTAATAGGGAGCTGATATAGGAGAAAGGAGACTTGCACTTTCAGAATAAGTGCTCTAAGTTTGGTGCTGTTGGTGCTGTGGTCCCATGGGAGAGTTTGCTGAGAGAATGAAGACATTGCAGAGAAAGCAGATCATTGTAGGAATTGGAGGAGGTGGGCAGGCAGTGCGGCATGAGTGAAATGGAAAACAGCAATGGATAGAAAGACTGATGATGTTGAAAATCTTGGATCTAGCTGGCCTTTTTATTGTTTTAAGATTTGTTTATTTTTCTATTAAAATGGCAGATTTTATAGAGAGAGATGCATAGAGAAAGATGTTCATTGGTTTACTTTCCAAATCACCATAATAACTAGAGCTGTGCCGATGGCTGGAGTTTCTCTCCAGCATCCCTAGTAGGAACAGAGTCCTATGGCCACGGGCCATCCTCTAACGCTTTTTCAGACCATAACCAAAAAGTTCAGCTGGCATTTAATGACATTTCAAGCTCAAACTGATGAATTACCATGTCACTGGGTTTATCTCCTTGCAAAACTTACACACATATACATAAATCCAGTTGTAATACTGGATGTTTATAATAGTTTTAGTGTTAATCTGATAGTTCAGTTTATATGTCTATTGTTAATTGATTGCTCTTTAACGAATATCTGACAAATACATATCTGACAAAACAGGATCCTCGCACGTGTTATAGAATAAGAGGATGAATGTTAGGTAGACTGTAATGCAGTACTGTTTGCAATTATACTTGGTCACTTAAACGTTTTAAGGACGCATGCAAACAGCTTTCGAGAATGAAAGAGTAAGTCATAGCTACCTGTGTCCCCTTCCCTGGTTCCTGATAGTATTGTTCTTTCAGGTCTTGGATCTTCTGAATCAAAAGACGATAGCCCCTCGGCTTAGAAAAGACTCCTTGCTTCATACTTTCTTCTAGTGGTTGGAAAATATCCTGAAGCAATGCTGAGCAGCGATCTGATGATGCTTTCATATTTTGATTTACAAAGTCATTCTGCCTCTTTTCTAGCTGGGCCTTTCATGGAAAAACAGGAAATAAAAAGTATGAAACAGAGATTAGCTTGAGCTCAGAATTTCAAAAGTACTTTTTTTTTTGACAAAGGACTATTTGCCTTAGAGTATGATGGGCACAACCTCAGGGCTCTGTTCTTCCTTCTGATCCCAATTCTCTACTAAAATGCATTTTTCCTTGTAGGTGAAGTTCACAGTAGAGACTGCTAGCTACCTGTGATATCTTGGGAAATAAAGTCCAACTTTTTCAGACTGGACCAACGATTGTAAATGGAACAAATGTGGTTCAGCATAAGGCTGCTAAAGAGAATTACAACTAAAATTTTCTATGGTCTTGGTTAGACATTCAAGATAGTCTGATAATAAGGTCACGTTATTTGCTTAGGGATTTTGATTAATACATACACTGAATTCAATTAAGGGAAGGATTATTAGTTTATGCATGAAAGAAAATGTTTCAAAACCTGATGTCTATAAAAACAAAGTTATTATCTGATTATTATGCTTATCAGTAGGTAATTACTACCATTTTATAACTTAATGATGATTGCCTCTCTAAAGAACTCATTTCATTTCCTAACAGTACTTTGCCTAAACCTAAATCCATACAAACTTGAGAGAAAGTTACCGCTAAATCTTTCTGAAATAAATGGTCAACATCTTTGAAGGAATTCTTTATGAAGACATCAATGGCTTCTCTCTCAGTGATCCTGTGCAGGTCCAGCAGCTCCTGGAGGGTGTCTGTGGGCAGCTTCACCTTCTGGCTCATCTGCTGGTCATAGTGGGCAATGGCCTTTTGCACTGCAGCTGAGTTCTCTATCTGGGCCAAGGCCAACACTGCGTTCTCCATGCAGGGCAGATCTCCACTGCTGATGGCATTGACGTATGTCAGTACCAGGTTCTCTAGACCTACAAATAAAGCACAGTTGATGATGTTTGCTGCAGGTTCAGTGAAGAAAATGTTGATATTGTGTACTTCTGTGCATTCCACTTCCTACCCATTTGCCTCAGAGTGCCAATCAATATCCATAGTACTGCCTAGAAGCTTGCTAGAAATGCAGAATTATTGCCTCTGCCCCAGATTTTCTTAATTTGACCCTTCTGCTTCTCAAGATTCTTGAATGATATTTACTGTATTCATACCAAAGGTAGTGGATCTGGTTTCTAGTTATATAGACCTGTGCTTATTGACTATTCACATGCATTTTAACCTCACGCATCATTATGGCAGGAAGCATTCCTCTTTCATGTATGTTTGTATCATCACCTCTGAACATAGTAAAGCATTTTTGAAATAATTAACACTATCACGATCCCTTGTTCCTGGAATAGCATTGTCAAGAGATCGTTCTGTTAATGACAGGAGTGTTCTATACGCCATGTAATACAGTTGTCAAAAGACACACGTAGGTATGAAATAGAGCCATGTGATCTGAATCTTAAAATTTCTTTCATTTTAATTTGTCTGCCTATGAATTTAAATAGACACAAATGTCTAGTGGGTGTCAGACTGAATAGTGCAGGCCCAGTTGACTAGGAAAATTTTGAGCAATAAATCTTTCTATTTGTCTTTTCTGTCTTTTCTATCCAGATATTTTAACAAGAAAGTCTATTAGAAATGCCAGGGACGGGGGCCCAGCACAATGGCTAAACTGGCTAATCCTGCACTTTCAAATGGCAGTATCCCATGTGGGCTCCAGTTCATGTCTTGGCTGCTCCCCTTCCCATCCAGAAAACTGCTTGTCCCCTTGGATGATAGTGAAGGATGGCCCGAGTGTCTGGGATCCTGCACCTGCGCGGGAGACCCAGAGGAAGCTTGTGGCTCCTGGCCTCATATTAGCTCAGCTTTGTTTGTTCTGTCATTTGGGGAATGAACCAACAGATGAAAGATCTTTCTCTTTGTCTCTTGTTTTCTCTGCAAATCTGCCTTTCCAATGAAAATAAATAGATCAGGCCCAGCAGTGTGGCCTAGCGGCTAAAGTCCTTGACTTGAATGCACCAGGATCCCATATGGGCACCGGTTCTAGTCCCGGCAGCTCCACTTCCCATCCTGCTCCCTGCTTGTGGCCTGGGAAAGCAGTTGAGGATGGCCCAAAGCCTTGGGACCCTGCACCCGCGTGGGAGACTCGGAAGAGGTTCCTGGTTCCCGGCTTCGGATCGGCGCAGCAGTGGCCGTTGCGGTGAGTTGGGGAGTGAATCATCGGGAGGGAAGATCTTCCTCTCTGTCTCTCCTCCTCTCTGTATGTCTAACTTTGTAATAAAAATCAATAAATCTTTTGAAAAAAAGAAAATAAATAGATTAAAAAAATGCCAGTCACATCCTAAATTTAACACAAGAACAGTGGTAGATTTGCAATTCTAAAAGCTATAACTGTAAAGAAAAAAATAAAAAAATTAAAATAAAGAAAAAAATTAAAAATAAATAAAAAAAAAGCTGAAACTGGCTAAATGTTTTATCATGCTCCTTAGCTCTAATAACAGAAGGACAATAAGGGAGGCTTACGAGGGCCATCGATCTTGATGCCTCCTGAGAGAGTTTTAATCTTGGAATAGTCGAAGATATAAGCACAGAACTCTGTCACTTGTCTCACAAATTCAGGATCTAATTCATCATCATGTAGTGTCTCAAGTTGGCCAAGCCTCTTCCTGTGGGTGGGTCTGTCGAAGACAAAGCATTTCTTCTTGGGGAAGAATGTCCGGATACAGAATCGTGGTAGATTAAAATTTTTAATTTTTTCACCAGTACCTAGGGGACATAAAAGAATTTACCTAATGTAAGTATTTGCAAATTTTCTGTGAATAGGCAAACAGTTTTTCCTTTAGGCCTTTGAATTAGGTGGTCTTTCTTCAAGTAGTCTACTCAATTATTATGACATGATAAGTCATAAGTGGTATATAAATGATGGGTATAACATTATTCTAGTGAGCCTTATTAAAAAATTGGCAGTGTTGTATTGATAGCTATTTGCTCGCATGGTGTCACTGACTGATACTTGGGCAAGTATTATGTTGTTGCTTTCATTATTTTCTTCAAATGCATGCATCCATGCTACTCTGTGGTATCCTGATAACACAGAATCACAAATCGTAAGTAAGGAGATAAAGTTTGTGAAATACAAAGAAACTTGTTCTTAGAAGAGGGAGAAAATAATTAAAAATCAAATTGATAATTGAGACATGAAAAAAGTATTACTTGTTTGGAATAGCTAGCTGAAGGAAAAAAATTGTAAATATAAGGAAACTCAAAACAATAATGAGTGATAATCTATCACTCCCATTTTTTTCTGGCCATCAGTCCATTACCATGCTTCAGCTTTAGTGAATTCTCCAGGTATTGGTCAGCTGTGATGACTTGTCCATCTACTTCCAAGTCCAGGGAAAAATCTCTCAGTGTCCACACAAAGTCTGGGAAGAAACTCACAAACTCAGCTGAGTCCTCAACCTCACTTGCTTCAGGTGAGGCTTTCGATCTGATGCGATCTGTCAGTTCAGTCACATAGCTGAGTAGTTAACTAAGGAAAACTTGTGAAGACAAGAGTGTCCCCATCTTGTATTAGCTCCACAACTTTCCAAGTCTTCACTGGGGTGTTGTTCTCATCTAGGTTTCAGCTTTTCAGTAAGTATATGGATCTTTCCCCTGAACTTGAATTTATTTAAAAAAATTATTAGTAATTTATTTGGAGGACAGAGAGACAGAAAGAGATGAAGGGAAAAACTGAAGGGAGGAACAGAGAGAGCGAAGGAAGGATGGTCCAAGCTGAAGCCAGGGCCAAGGAATTCCTTCCAGACCTGCCGTGTGGAGCACAGGGACTCAGGTACTTGAGCTAGCATCTGTTGCTTCTGATATGGGATAGGCAGATAGGTCTGTGAGGCTAGAAGCCACAAGGCCCACTCCGCTGGTTGTCCCCTGTACCCTCCTGCCTGAAAATCACACTGGCTCCTTGCTTGGTTCATATCTCCTTCACCTGGGACCTGAGGACGTGGGGCAGCTCCAAGTAAAACGCTCCTTAAAATGGAAAGAACTCACATTTAGAAAGAACTCACCTCCCTTATTTCTCTGTCTCTCTCTCCTCTTCCCTTCTTTGACTCCCTTTCTCTTTTGGGCCCACTTCAAACTCATGATGCTTATCTCTCAGTATGTGGCAACTCATGTTCACACTTGTGTGTATGTGCTGTCTGAATAAAATTAAGAATTCTTTATGCATGCAAGCAACTGAATAAAAATTGAAACCCACTTCCTCTTCGATTTAATGGTGTCTGCACCCCTTCCTCCACAGCCAAGTCTCTGGTGATGGAAAGAATCCTGGGAAGGGGCAGCTTTATTGACCAATAGCAGGGTACACAGAGTTTAGGTCTGTGGGAGAGCCAGGTATGATGGTTTGTGGTTTCCAGTTTTGCATAACTAACTAGTTGCCTGTCACATATTATTTCTAAGGTGAATTAGGATGAATTTGGCTCAGAAGCAGAAGATTCAGATGTGAAACTTGGTATTCAGATATGAGTTGTGGACATTATGAGATAGGGCTTAATTACTGCACCGTATACCTGCTCTATGACATGTGTGTTTATGTGTGTGTTTGCTCCAAAAATTGACAGCTGAGTGCAAGTCTTCTGTGTGACAATGATATTAATCTGGATCATAAGAAGGATACTGCAGTTGGTCCATGGCCTGTTGGTTGATGGTCCCCATACTATTGTAAACGATGGTGCTACTCAGGAGGATTGCCAGGGCGAAGATCCAGGAGTCATTCTGGTTGTCGCCCTGCAAGTCAGGACACATTTGAGTCAAGAACAGTTTCATTCACGTGGCACTTTACCTATCTGCAATAAAGTACGTTGCTCTAATTATTATTTTTTGACTATGTCTAAGTGGTGGAGAGCATTGTGGCATAAATGGTTAAGCTACCACGTGCAAGTCAGTTCGGGTCTGGTTGTTCTATTTCCAATCTGACTCCAAGTTAATATGCTTGAGAAAGTTGCAGAAGATAACCCAAGTGCTTGTGCCCCTACACTTGTGTGGGAGACATGGAAGAACCTCCTGCTCTGGGAATCAGCCTGGTCCAGCCCTGGCCATTGTAGCCACTGGGAAGTGAACCAAGGGATGGACGACCTCCCCTTTCTCTCCCTCCCTGTAACTCTTTCTTTCAAGTAAATAAAATAAATCTTTAAATACAATAAAAGGAAACATTTTTAAAAGATTGTATAGAAAAGGAACCCAAATTTAAGAAAAAAAAGTTTGTTACTTGAGCTCTGAATTTTTTTTTAACTAGTATTTTTGGCTTATATTTATTCTTATAAGACCCTGATACTTATTATCAGATAATTACCGAAAAAAGCATTCAATGGCCTAAAACACAACTAACATTTATAATTTTACATTTGAATAATAAAAATGATTTAAATAAATTTTATAATATTTGTAGCTATTTTATTGTGCAATCCTTAGGCATCTAACACTTTGCTCATGGTATATAATATCCAAAATAACACTGTGAGGCAAATATAGATATGCTGCTTCCATTTTACAGATTAGAAAGCTAAGACTAAAGAAGTCAACTTGCGCAGGCCACTGAATTAGTGGGATGGTTTATGTTTAATCACAGAGTGCAAGTCAAATCCTTAACTGAAGGTCTCTGTTGAGCAGGATACTGAGTTTTTGTGTTATTTTTGGCATCTGGGTTGATTTGCTTTGTTTACGACCTTTGTTTATAGTTAGGATTCTTTATTTTAAAAAAAATTATGTTTTTTTTTGTTTTTGTTTTAGAAATGTTTATTTTTTAGAAAATTAGACTTACATAAAGAGAGAGAGGAAAATCTTCCATCTGCATGTTCACTCTTCAAGTGGTCTCAATGGCCAGAGACAAACTGATTTTCCATGTCTCCCACACAGGAGTAGGGTCCCAAAACTTTGGACCATCCTCTACTGCTTTCACAGGCCACAAACTGGGAGCTGGATGGGATGTGGACATGTGGGATATGAACCTGTGCCCATATTGGATCCTGGTTCATACAAGGTGGTAACTTCAGCCACTAGGCTACTCCGCTGGACCTGAGGCACTTTCTACTGACCACCATAACTCTTGCTAGGATTCTGCCTCTGAATAGTGTCCTTAACTCCAATTGCTACACCAATCCTTACACAGAATAAAAGAAACAAGAAGATTCATGATGGCCAATTGCAACACTTTTTAAAAGAATAACTACATATCATAGAGGATATTCAGCAGGGATTACCAAGACAGATGGCCCATCCTTACCTTCTCTACATCTCCCAGGCCTTCGGTGTCAAGCAGAACCAGGGTGCAGTCTGATTTCTTGGGGTGTGGCACACACCACATCCAGATGCCCTTGGTGTGAGACTGCACTGTGGAACCCAGAGAGAAGCCTGCAGAGGTGAGAGGGTATCAGAGGGCAAGTTGGAGGTTGATGAGCAGGCAGTTTTGGGAGTCAGGATAAAAGTTAGCCTCATTGAGAGAAGCATATCCATAACCAGTACTGCTGCTTCATATGATAACCAGAGCAAAAGGAAAATGGGGAAACCCAACGTATAAAAACTCAGCCCAATCAATAAAAAAAGTATCAAAACAATAAAAAATCAATAAGCCAGAAGTAGAAATAAATGAACATAATGTACAAATGTCTTACTTGCAAAATTCACATTGCACTCAATGATAAAAAAGCTTAATTCTTTTCTCTGAGATCAAACTTAATAATACTCTCATCCACCATGTTCTTCAACATAGTACTGGAAGCAAATAGGAAATTTGATAAGAAAATGGAATAGAAGACATACAAATCAGAAAGGGAAACATTAATTTTTTTGTTAGCGGAAGACTTGACCTAATTGGTAGAAAATGTTAAATAGTCCACAAAACCCTATCAGAACTAACCAATGTACTCAGGAACAGTTTAGTATTCAATATCAATGTGTAGAAATCAGTTGCCTTTCAATACACTAACTAACCATGAACAGTCAGATCAGGAAAATAAGATGTTCAGCCTTTTCCCTTTGAAAGTTAAAGGCAAACCTGGATCCAATGAAGATGCCGAGAGTGAGCCATTTTTAGCCTCTGCAGACTTGTTGGTAACTTGGTGTCAAGACATGAAGAGTTGGGCAAAGAGGCAAAAAGTTTTGGTGGCTTATTATAAAAAATCTTTGCAAGATATAGTGAAGAAACATGACACAAACTGACTTTAAGTGTAAGTAGGTAGCAACTGAGCAATCAGGCTACATCTACTCATTAGGGTATTAAAACAAATGTAAGTGATAAAGGTTCCTCTGTTTAAGTATTAAGGAATTTATTCTGGATCCACAACAGAAGCACCAAAGACAATGGGAACAACAGTGGAGATGAACATTTATCTTAAAAATTCATTTGTTATAATAGTGTTTAACCATGATTGTATCATGAAATAAACCAACACACAACTCTGAGTTATGCATATACCAGTAAGAACAGTCATCCCAGCCTGAATTTCCGCTAATCCAGCCCACATGTGGCCAACAGGTGTTATAGCCCTGCCTGGCATGGTCTGCTCCCATCCTAACTCATGCTTTTCATTGGGAGTGGTGGTCTAGCAGGAGAGCACCAGGCAACCCACCTTCTGGCTTTGCCCCCTACCTCCTTAGGTCTCATGTGTGCTGGTGGGTGTTGTGGTGCAGTTTGGCATGGCCCACCTCACTTCGACATTTGCCAGTGGGCACTGTAGCCTGGCTGGGCCAGGCCCACTCCCAATTTCAACTCATGCTGGTGGGGGCTACAGTCTAGCCCAGCCCAGCCAGCCCCCAGTCCCGGCCCTCATGTAAACTGGCTCGTGTTGGGACCCAACCTGGCTTTGCTCACACTATATTGTACTGCTTGGATTCTCTAGCTGGTGATTTGAACTGGCCCAGTGTGGCATGCTCCCACCCTGTGCCAAATGTATGCCAGTGGGTATCGTTACATGGCCTGGTCTGGATTGCTCCTTGTCATGTTTCTTGCACTCACCTGTAGGGACTATGTCCTGACAGAGGAGTTTACCAAGCTTCTCCATCAGAACCTTTCCTAATGCCAGATCTCATGCACACCAGTGGGTCCATGCTCCAGCTCTACTTAATCCACCTACTGTCTTAGCAGGAGCAGTGGCCTTTCCTGATTAACCTTCACCCATTCCAGTTTTTATCATTGAGTGTCACAGCCACGCCAAGCACAAACCATACCCAGCCACAGCTCAGACTTGGCCCAGACTTGGCCCAGCCCTTCCTACACCTACCCTGGTTCTTATAAGCACGAGTGGCTGCTGGAGTCTAGAACAGTCTGGCACACCCCAGACCCAGTTTACATTTGTGCCAAGGAATACTTCAACCATGCCAAGACTTGACAGCAGCCACCACTGTGGCCTTTGCACTTATCAGTGGGAACCAGAACCTGGCCAGGGTGTCCCCTTTGCTCTCCAACTAGGCCTGTTTCCAGCCACAGAACTCACAAGTGCCAATGGTTGCTTTGACCCAGTTTGGCACAGCTCCTGTCTTGGTCTTTGCCATGGATGCTATTGCCTGGCCTGACCTGGCCTGAACCCAAGTCCCAACTCCTGCTGATGAGTGCTGTGACCTGGCCCTGCACAGTCTGCTCCCATCCCTGGCTCATGCAAACCAGTAGGCATGATAGCCTATCCTGGCATGACCAGTGTTCCAACCTGGTTTCTACATTTGCCAGTGAGCTAAGGTTTTGCTTGGCCCTGCCTGGTCAGCCCTCTTCTAAAACCAACCCACACACTAGCCAACAATTGGAGCTGCTTTCCCCAACCTGCCTGACCTCTAGGCCTGGACCATGTTTTACCAGTGGGAGCTATGATCCACTAAGAGAGTTTCCCATGTTCTGCTACTCAGCCCACTCCCAGACCCAGATCTCACACGTCAGTTGGTGCTCAGCCTTTGCCTGGCATAGTCTGATACTCTATCTTGGCCTAGCATGAGCTGGTGAATGATGTGGCCCAGCTTACCCCATATCCTATTTTAGGATGCACATGTGGGTACTGCAGCTTGGACCTGCCCAGTATATTCTCAGCCCCAGCACCTGTGAGTGTTGGCAGGTTCCATGGTCACACCTAGCTCAGTCAATTACTACCCCAACTCTTGAGCTGACCAGCGGGACTTACATTTGCACAGGGTTTGGTCCATATATGTCTCACAGAATCTACCCCCAGAACTGGTGGTTCTCTACCCCCAGACTTGGTTATCTCCCATGCTGGTTAGTGTCATGACCGTACCTAATGTGACCTGTCCCCTGTACCAACGTTGTCAGATGCTAAGATCTAGCCCTGAAAGACAGACCCCTCGCTTTTGTGTATGCGCCAGCATGTGGTGGTCAGCAATGTTCCATGTCATCAAGCCAAACTCTGGTTTCCCATGTGTGCTGGTGCATGAGTCTGACCCACATATATCTTCTGGTCTCTCCTCTTCAAACCACCAGGTCTCAGTCCCCTTGCTTATCTGCAAGAATAGTGGCCCTGTCGTTGATTGTCCCTCAGGATTTATTCCTCACCTACATGTACTGTGGCTTTATCTATGGGTGTCCTTAGGCAATAATTTCAGTCCTCCAAGACTCCAGCCTCAGGCGTCTGGCTGCCAGAGGGGGACGCCTGGGTAAATTGATGCACTGGCTGCCCACAAGCTCCCAGGATTCATCTACCACTTGGCAGTGGTGGATGGGCAGCTAGCATCCCTGGCAGGAAGCCTGGCTCTGCATGGGTTCTCCCAGCAACAGCCAAGTGGCTTGGAGTTTCAGATATCCACACCTCTGAGCACCAACATGGCGGCAGTGGGCAGATGCCATCACGTAAATTTTAAGTTCAATAACCCTTTCCATATTGCTTTTGCTGCGTCCCATGTGTTTTGATGTTTTTTTTTTTTATTTCATTTTCATTTCTTCCAAATAGTTTATTTTCTCTTGTCAAATTCATTACTGCCTCATGGATCACGTGGTGGCATCATCTTACACAAGAGGCGTTTGTTTTCTTTTCAACATCTATGTGTTGGTTATTCAGTGACATGTGTTATTGACTCCATGGTGCTGTTTTGTTCTGTTTTTGTTGTTTGTTTTAACTTCATGACTTTTCCACTAAAGGAATGTATAGTGATGGCGTAATAGAGACTACCATATCCAGATGTGAAGATATAATGGAACATGCAACCCTACTTCCAAATCAAAGATGGACTCCCAATAAAACTACTAGACATAACTAGGCAATAAGAGACTGGACTGTCTGACATTGTCTGTACCAGCAGTGTAGGGGCTGGTACCACTTAAATAAGAGACTGATGGAATCATGACTCTTTATGAAGGACTGAACTATTGTAATAATATGAAGAAAATCAGTTGGGGGTGAGGAATTCAGGGCGGGATCCCAGAATCTATTGAATTGTACCATAAAATTCAAAGTAAATAAGTAACTAACTAAATAAATAAATAAAATTTTAAAATGCAAAATAGGAAACTGTTGGTGAGGACTTGCGGAAGCAAGATAACTTGCTTATACCTGTTGGAAACTCAGCATGGTACAGTCCCTGTGGAAAATGTAGTAGTGATTTCTTAAAAAATTAACAATACAATTGCTTCTGAGTTATCAATTCCACTTCTGGGCATATATCCAAAAGAAATGAATACAGGGACCTGGATTGGTACCTGTACACTTATGTTCACATCGACATTATTTGCAATAGTCAAAAGATAAAACTAACACAAATGTCCATGAAAGATGAATGTGTAAATAAAATTGGTACTTTACATGCTATGATTCAGTCAAAAGGGAAAGACTACTGACCAAATTACAACAATAATTGTTAGGAGCCACAGACTTATGGGCCTAGACTTGAAACACCTGACAACCTGTTGCATTGCAAAGTCTGCCTTGGACATGCAGGGCCACAGCAAGCAGGATATTAGGCCAGAAAATCCTGTGTAAAGCAAGTGGAATAGAACCTCCATCCTTGTTCCTGTTCAAATAATTAGTTTCTCTGCTGTTTCAATATAGATGATTAGTTCCTTCCCTGCTTCAATGAAGACAGTTACTTCCAGGAACTCCCCCTCTCTCCCTCCTCCCCTAGAGAAGAAGCTATATATACATGAGGAGCAAAATAAAGAGAAGAGGCTCTCTTTTCCACCAAGTACATGTATCCGTGTGTTTCATGGGCCAGCAGCCTAGTGGGTAGCAGCCTGGCATTCCCAGTCCACCCTAATGATTTGAGTGTTGTGTCCTACAGGTCGAGACAACTAATGAACCAACTAGACATTATACTAAATGAAATAAGCAGTCACAAACGGACAGATGCATGATTCTACTTACATGAAGTTCCCAGAGAATAGAAATAGAGACAGAAGGCAGAGTGCTAAGGAGTGCACATAAAAGGAACAATGGTTTAGGGGATATAAAGTTTCTGTTTCAGAGGATGAAAAAGTAGTGGAGATAGATGGAGAAGTTGGATGCTCAACAGTGAGAATTTACTTAATACCACAGAACTAGAACCATTAATATGATCACAGGGCTAAATTTTATGGCACACACACACTTTACAGTAATGATGAAAAAATCCAAAAATTTTTAAAGATCTGTACAAACTTTTCACTTGAAGAACATTTAGTGTATAGGATCATGTATGCATTAATTAGTACTGTCTCACTCTTACTAGGATAGGAATAAATTATGATTCTTGCAAGAAAAACTCAAACATCATAGGAAGAATTAGCCGACTCTCATCTTCTGAAACAGAGTTTAGGTATGAAGACCAACTGTGGTCCCAAAACTGACTTTCAAGGTTCACCCCTCCCCCCATCCCTTTCCTGTTCTCCTCTCTTCCTCGTACTGGGTAATGACAATGTGAGTGGAGTGCAGTGACTTGGCAGATTCTGGTTGGTACCACTCACCCTTTTTCTTCCCAGCCAGCTTGTTCATCAGGTAGGACTTGCCCGTGCGGTAGAGGCCAACAATCGCCACCACCACCACAGGCTGCTTAATGGCAGACAGGATCTTCAAGGCTTCCTGATTCACCATCAGTTGCCCATTAATGTTTTCAATGAGGCACAAGGGGCCTGGCATGTGGATCTGTGAGGTCATCTTGCCAGATTAATTTGTCTGCAAGGGAAGCAGTGAAATAAATCAGACTTTCCAATCTTTTGCCTTCACAAAGTAGACTCATACAATTCCACAGCATGGCCAAGAGTTCCATGTGAGCCAATAGCATAGAGGGAATATCTATAGAATCTTTGGTATTTATGTAAATATTGTCAAAAATAGTTCATTTTAAAAAGATCATTATTAGCATTTTACCTGTCTCATAACTCAAAATCTTGTATTTGACTTTGCTGAAAAATTTCCTTTGGATTCTTTTTTAAAAGTATAGGAGTGGGCATTTTGCTCAACAGCTAAGTTATTGGTTAAGCCATCTCTCAGTGGAATACCGGGCTCAGTTTCTGTGTCTGGTTCCTGATTCCAAGTTACTGCCAGTGCAGGCCCTGGGAGGAACTGATGGTGGTTCATGTAGCTGGGATCCTGAAACCCATGAGTGATACCAAGACTGAGTTCTTGGTCCTGGCTTCCCAAGATAGACCTTCACTGAGTCCTGGATTTAGACTGGCTCAACCCTAGCTATTGCATACATGTGGGGAAAGATGGGATATATGTTATTACTATGTTGCCTTTTTCTAGATCATTCCCTCCAGCAAATACACACACACACACACACTTATTTTTTATTGGGAAGGGAGATTTACAGAGAGAAGGAGACAGAATTATGGTCCATCTGTGGGCTCACTCCCTAAATGGCCACCACAGACAATGCAAAACCAGGAGCTAGGAGCTTTCTCCAGGTCTCCCACGTAGGTGCTTGGTCCCAAGATTTTAGGCCATGCTCTCTTTTTCCTAGGCCACAAGCAGAAATCTGGAAGGGAAGTGGAGCAGCCAGGATACAAATTGGTCCCCAGGTAGGATGTCAGAACTTGGAGGTGGAGAGTTAGCCTGTTGAGCTATCACACCAGCCTCTCTAAAAATACATTAAAAAAACTATATTAGATGGAAGATGGAAAATAGAATAAAACTTATTTGCACTCTGACTATATATAAGAGTTTTAATGCTGGATCCAGCCTTGTGGTACAGATGGTTAAGCGTCTGCCTATGACATTAGCATCCTATTTGAATGCTTATTCTAGTCTCAGCTGCTCTGTTTTTGACCCAACTCTCTGCTAATGTGCCTTGGAATGCAACAGAACATGACTCAGGTTGTTGGGTCTCTGACATCCACATGGGAAACCCAGATAGAGTTTCAGTTTCAGGTTCCTGGTGTTAATCTGGTCCAGCCCCAGCTGTTGTGGCCATTTGGGGACTGAACCAGATGGAAGATTTCCAACATTCTTCTTTCTCCTTGTATCTGTAACTCAGTCTTTTAAATAAGTGGACAAATCTTTTGAACAAAAATTCAGTGCTAATTAATTCAATCATTGGGTCGTACGATGAATAAAGACCCTCATGAGTCAATGCTTCATTATATGATGCACGAGATTTCTAATTGGTTTCTTATTCTTTGCCATGACTATTTTTTATTCCATTGGCATGAGGAACCATTAGAATCTTCACATTGCTATTCTGAATGTAGAACCTATGTATTGGTCTTGGCATATTTTATGAAAATATGTGACCAGGTGAATGCATGGCTAGGTTGCCTTCCACATCCTTGGAAGAGGTTGGTGAAAGGCAGGGTCCCTGGAATTTGAGGTTCATTGTGTTTGTAATAAATTAGGTTTCTAGGCAAGCACAGTTACAAATGTTGAACGCTGTTTTTAAAAAGATTGTGAAACAAGGATTAAAAGACCATTCTGCAGATCAAGCACCTAGACACAGGAGTAGTCCCGCAGTTAAGAGGGCAGGTATGATTCCTGAGTCCCACACTGGAACATCTGTGTGTGAGGCCACGCTCCAGCTCCTGACTCTAGCTTCTTGTTAACGCACGAGCTGGGAGGTAACAGGTATTGCTCAAATAGTTGGGTCTCTGCCATCCACACAGGAAATCTGTATTGAATTTTCAGTTTCTGCTTTTGGCAATCACCTACCTCCAGCTATTGTCTGCTTTTGGGAATTGAGTTAGTGGATGGAAACCTGCTGTCCTGTTCTGTGGCTCAAATAAATAAAAAATTGGGGGAAAAATCTAAATAGAAAGCTATCCAAAGATAGCTTTATTTTCTTATTTATATTATTTTATCATATATTGTTTTATTATTGTATATTATATACTAACACAATGTTATAATATTTACTGATATTTTACATTTAACATTTTCTATATTTTATTTGACTATTTAATTATATTATCTATTAAATAGTTATAGTATATACTACATCATATATTATTCTAAAATAGACATATAATATTATGTTATATATTTTATATATTATGTTATTATGCTCTATTATTCTATTAGATTCTTCATTTCTGGCCAGCAGTCTTTAGTTCTCAGGCTTATATGTGTTAGAAGGACAAGAGAGACAAAAAAAAAAGAAGGGGAGAGGGATATGAAATGGCAAAGTAGGGAAAGGGGAAAGAGAAAGTGGGCCAGTGAGAAAAGATGGGATAAAGCAGTCTCTGTGGGTTGAGTAGCATGGGAGCAGGGGTGGGTTGTGAGGACTTCAAAATTGCTTGAGGTCCAGGAAAGACAAGGTATACTGATTTTGTTTCTAGCATTGCATTACAGGAGGTTCTTTAAAAAGTCTTCTGGCAAAGTAGTGGGTCCCATGTGACTTGAAAGGACAAGGATTTAGGGGCACTAAGATTATAACCTCTGAATGGTAGAAATCACTTTGAAAACAAATTCAAATATGTGGTTAGAGAATCTTCCTCTTGCGTTGGGTTTCAGGGAATCTTGTCTGTTAACCAAGTCAGTGGGTTGCATCTCTATGTCTGCCATAAAAGTGACTCACAGGCAGCTTTTTCATTAGGAGGAGAACTGAACAAGCTCCCTCCCTAGCACTGGTCATCTGGATCCTTCATCAGCACAGACAGGGGCAATAAAGTCACAAATAGCCCTTATGCAGTTCACCTCCAGGTAGCCCAGGTCTCTGGTCCCTAGCTCCCCAGGAGCACAATAGTGGCCCCCTGTGGAGTGCTGATCCCAGGGAACCGCAGGATTTCATCTGATAGTCCTTGCTACAGCCAGCTCAGCGGCAGCCTTTCTCCACTGTGATCATTTCTCAGAGAACAAACTCATTCTACTCTACCCACTCCTGTGCTGTTTTAGAGGAGGAAAAAGGTGCTGTGAAAGAAGCAACAAGCTTTCTTACCTGTTCTTTCTCTGCTCAGTCTGGTGGAAGTGGCTTCTTTCGTTGCTCTGTCTCTCACTGGATTGCTGGACTTTTATTTCACCCCTCCACTGTTGTGGCGCTTTCTGGAGAAAAAATTAACCTCTCAGAGACCTAAAGTGATGTGAAAGTGAAAGCACTTGCTGCAGGCAGTGACTCAACTGCTGACAAGAATTTTCAGATTGTGCTAGGAACAGGATTTGGCAGATCTTAATGCATATTTGGTTTTTGTTGGAAGAAATTTACAGACCATTTGCTATTTTAAAAATGTCTATTAGATATTGAATAGAAGGGGATTTATTTCCTGATTGGGGGTCACTCTGAAAATCTTAGAATGCAGAGCTCTCCTATTATGTTTTTATGCCTTGTCTACTGAAATGATTGACCCCCATGCAGGTGGGACTGGCTATTCCATTACAGAAGCTGAGTGAGCTTCTGAGTGGCACATTGATGAAATCCCAGCTCTTACACCTCACACCCTACGCGTAATCATTACATGCTCCATGTCTCATGCTTGTGCTGTCTTTCATCCTGTGAGAAACATTTACCTATGGCTTTGGAGAAATCAAGGCACAAACTTTAATAATCTCTGAGGTTATAAATAATCTGAACCCAGGGAGTCCTGATTGTGTATCCATTTTCTTGAACCACCTCACTATGCTGCCTCTGTTTGCTGAGTGACTAATTGAGCAAACAACAGTTTTTACATATAAATTTTTTTTTCAGGAAAATGTGTTATGTGTTTAATTCAGTAATGAGTATAATCATAAGAAAAGAGTGGAATTGTCCACTTTATAGTGAAAATAAGATTATTTTTGCCCATTCCAATCAACTAAGCAAATCACACAGTTATGCTTACAATTTTAAACTCTGTCTTTAGACTATATTCTTCTTTTCTTTCCTCACTGTATCTCCAATGAAAGAACAGACACTGGTGTCTGAAGGGCCAGATCATATGTTTAGTGTTGTTCAATGTCACAGTGCAGAGACTAAATTTCTTATCACTGTAGTCAGAGATCAAGTGCTCCAGCCTTCACCCAGCCTCTTGCTCAGTCAAACATTGCTCATTGAGTTAACCTTTAATAAGTAATGATATTGTTTTCTTTAATCAGTTCCAAAATGTTTCAGGTTTCCTTTTGCCTTGTGGAGATCTGGCTGCCAGTGGCTTCTCTCTTCTGCTGCTCTAGGGAGTGGTGACTCCATCCTGCAGCTTTCAGTGGGCCTGGGGACTTGTGCATGTGTTTACATCCCATGGTTGGGTGGGAATGGGGGGTGCAGAAAGGCCCCAGGCTGACTTGGTGTGCTGACAGGCTGTGCACGGGGTCTCATGTGCATGTTTGTGTCCCAGTGAGTGGAAGGATATAGTCCCACCAACACGCATGCCAGAAGACTGGGTCTGAAAACCCGTATATGGACTTGGGTCACTGGTAGGTGGTTATCCAGGCTAGCACCCCACCCCACCAGAACACTAAGCTGTGGAAGACTGAGCTAGGGAACCTATGCACTCCCAGCACATGGACTGTGGATTGCTCAGGGAAGGGCACAAAGGGATGTGTGGAAAAGAGGACCACGGAGGGAGTATGTTTTAGGTGAGCAATGACTTCTGAAGGACTTCCACCAACAAGGCCACTGTACTTGCAGGTAAGTGAGGGAGCTGAGGCTGAACATTTTGGAGGAAGGAAGCTAGAGGACCTTTCTGGGTCAGAGCAACGCACCTGTCCACATGGGGAACTTGAGCTGAGCTTGTTAACATCATTGACCAGCACACATCACAACCCATCAGCACACACTAAAGCTAGGACCCTGGGGTGGAAGGAAGGAGGCTAACTTGTCAGGGCTAAGCACAGAACCTGCCAGTGAGTATCAGAACAGAGAATGAGTAATGTTAGCCAGTACCATGACACTAACTAGCATGTGAGAGAACCAGATCTGGGGGTAAAATTCTGTGGTGGATATATGGACTCACAGGGTGAATTTGCTCAAGATCAACAGGAGTGCTGATGGGCTGGGTATGGTCATGGAACCTTCTAACACTCGTGGATACTGAGGTTGGGATCAGGTTAAGCTGGTCCAGGCTGTGGCAACCACAGCAACACCCAAAAAATAGGGTGTGGGGTGGGTCAGGCCACAACATCTACCAGAACACACAAAGTTCTAGATGGAGAGTGCGGACTATGTTGAATTAGGGTCTAAAACCTGCTGGCACATGTGAGATCTAGGTCTGGGAGTTGGCCTGGTGGGGGAATTGGGAAAGTCCACTGGTTGGCTATTGCCCATGCTTGTGAGCATGTCAGGGCTGGGTGTGGGCCAAGACAGACAAGGCTGCTCCATTTGTCAGCACCAGCATGTACTGGAGCCAAGTCTAGTCGGACATACCCCAGATCCAGTCAATACACATGCTGAGGAATGTCACAAATGTCCTGCCAAGTTCACCACTCCCATTCTATTTCTTTTGCTTACCCAAGGGTCCCACAGCCCATCTGGGGCATAGTCTTAGCCCACCTACCAGGCTTGTTCCCAGTCATAGATTGTGCACATGCCAATGGTTGTTCCTACTCAGCCCAGCATAACCCATCTTCTGGCTTGACCTTTGCCATCAGATGTTGCAGCCTGGTTTGCCCCAGCCCATCCCCAGTTCCAACTCCTGCTGGAGGGTGCTGCAGCCTAGCCCTACCCAGTCTTCTTCCATCCCTTGCTTTCATGCAAGCTGATAGGTGTGATGGCCTATCCTGGCATTGCCCATGCCCTATCCTTCCTCTTGTACATACCAGTGTGTTAGAGTTTGGCCTGGCTCTGCCCTGTCTTCTCCCCTGAGCCAGCCCACATACCTGCTGACAAATGGAGCAGCCTTGTCTGTCTTGGCCCACACCCAGCCCTGACATGCTCACAAACATGTCCCTTCAACAATCTTTAAGCAGTTCAATATAAAAACAAAATGCACAAAACTTTCACCCAATTTAGTATACTATTCAGAAAGAAGCTAATTCTTAATTTCCAGTCTATTTCCAAGAAATTGAGAGCTTGCATCTACCTGCAGTTTCAAAAACAATAAAAACTTCAAGAGGTCACCAATTTTTCCCCAGCAAATCCTTTATTCATAGAAAAAGGGAAGTAGGATCTGGAAGTTTCTTTGCTAAGAATAGCCAATTCTCAAAATAAGGGAAAGCCATATAGAAACAAGAAGTTTCAGTTCACTTTGGCAAAAATACAACTGTGAATGAACTTAATTTGAACAGTTGTCAAGTTAAGAAACTCCAAAAAACTAACCTCAGGTCACTGTGGCCTTACAAACTGCATTTTAAAGATGTTAAACATTTTAAACTGTTTGTCATTCTGTAAAATTAATATGATAATACCTGCATAAGTGGAAGAAAAATTTAGCACTTTGCCTGACATGGAAGATATACCATATACATTTTACTTCTCAGTATGCCACTAACAGGCTTCATTGCCTCAAGAATGAAACATGAATATGTAATGAAAACAATGATATGTTCTTCTGTATGCTCCTTCTCAGTAGTAATAAATAAAATAACATTTGTGGCCTGTACTTTTAGGTAATATCAAAAAGCATGATTCCCTCTACTGGGAGGTATGTGCAGCACTAGATAAACATTTGGTAGCTAGGAGAAGTAGAAAATATTTGAGAAGCAAATTTCACAACATATCTCAGAAGTCTTTAATAACTATATCCTTTCGACCAGCACTATGGATCAATGAGTTAAGATACCACTTCTGAAAACAGTATACAATATGACAGAACCAGTTTGAGTCCTGATTGTTACAATTTCAATCCAGTTGCCTAATGTACCTGAGAAAGCAATGGATGATGGCTTAAAAGCCTGGGTTAGGGCCCGGCGCAATGGCGCAGTGGTTGGGGTCCTTACCTTGCACGCCCGGGATCCCATATGGGCGCCGGTTCTACCCCGGCAGCCCCGCTTCCCTTCCAGCTCCCTGCCTGTGGCCCGGGAAGGCAGTCGAGGACGGCCCAAGGCTTTGGGACCCTGCACACATGTGGGAGACCCGGAATGAGGCTCCTGGCTTTGGATTGGCATTGCACTCACTTGGGGAGTGAATCATCGGACGGAAGATCTTCCTCTCTGTCTCTTTTCTCTGTATATCTGCCTTTCCAACAACAACAACAACAACAAAAAATAAATAAATCTTAAAGAAAAAAAAGCCCGGGCTAACTCTACCCATGTGAGAGACCTAGATGGAATTCCTGGATTCTGGTTTCAGCTGGAAGTAGCCTGATCTTTGAAGCCATTCAGGTGATAAAACAATTGATGGAAAATTGGAAAAATTTTTTTCTCTACGTCTCTCCTTCAAATAAAATAGGCCCGGCAGCTCAGCCAATCTGGCACAGATCCCAGTGGGTGTTATGGCTTAGTTGGGGTGAGCCTCATAACACCCACCAGGCCTGACTCCAGCCCTGGTCTTTGCACTTGGCAGTACATGCCAGCTCTTTGTGGCCTAGCCCAGCCCACATCGCATCCACACCCATGGGTAATGCAGTGTACCTGAGTCTTATCAGCATCAGTCACCATGTATCCCAACAGGTACTGCTCCTTGCCCAGCCTAGCCCACTCCTAATCCTGGTTCATAGGTTCACCAGCAATAGGTACAACCCAGCAGGGGAGTGCCCACAGTTCCCCTGCTAGACATATTCCCAGTCCAGGAACTTGCTCCTGCCAGATGGTATTGCAGTCCAGCCTAACATGACACACGTGCAGTTCAGGCATTTACCAACTGCTGCTGTGGCCTAGCTTGGCTGACATGCCCCCCATTCTGGCCCTCATGCATGCTGCCAGTGGGTGCAGCAGTATACCCCAGCCTGGCCTGTTCCCAGCTGGCTCACCCCCAGTCTCAGCTTTCATGTTCACCAGTGGAAACCGTAGCCCAGCAAAGGAGTCCCCAGAGTTTCCCTACCAGGCCTACTCCCAGCTCCCGGTTTTGAGTGTGCCAACAGGTGTTGCTGTCCATTCTGAGATGGCCATCCCCAGTCTTGGCATTCACCAGAAGGTGCTACAGCCTGGTTTAGTCCAGCCTGTCCCTAGTCCCAGCTTTCAGCAATGTGTTCAACAGTCTGGCCCAGTCCAGCCCAGCCCCAGCCCTCAT